CCAAATCGAAGAGTCAAACAAGTAATCATCGCATTATATTTCAGTAACAAATAATTGTAGCTAGTTTTTTCTGGTTTCAAAATAAATGGATACACCATAACTTGATGTCAAAGTGTAAGAGATTGGATTTCCTGCAGCGTGGAAGTATGACAGAGGGGCTTAAGACAAATGTACTACCTATCTGAGGGGAATTAGCAGCTTCTTAGTTAGCACATGTAAATTTTCCAGTTCTAACAAACGGTATAATTAGCTCAGTAGCTGCGAGGCATACGAATTCGTGGGATATTAGGTCACGATTAAGTAGTAAACACTGGTGCTTAACCTATTCTGCTATTTGTCGTGGCATTTTGAAAGAGATGAATTCCCTTTCAGCTACCGCCTCTAATTCAAATTTTTGTCTTCTTCCTAACAGCGGCAGATATGACTGCACCCACAACCATCCCGCTATTAAGGCAGAGGAGGAGCTAAATATTCATAACAACCTTTATAATCATCTTCTCTCTTGGATCCTGTTGACTACTTGATTGAACGTAAGGGTTTTTCTGGCAAATTGAGTAAGGAAATAATGCCTCTGCAGTGTCGAACCAGAGTTTAATTCATTCTTTGGGTTATACCAGTAGCATTTTTGGCCTTTTATATGTCACATTGCATATTCTATCCTAGTATTATGTCTACTTTCGTCTTAAGGGAATTCTCGGGTCGCCACCGCAATTTAGCGGCTAAAGGTTAAAAGCACAGACAAGATTGAGGTTCATTTACAAACTGACTACGCCATGATAGAATTTTATATAAACCATATTGGAGATGCCTTTTGCAAGATAACTGAGGTGAGCTCTTGCAATCTTCTGGTAAAAGTGTGTGCATCAGAGAAATCTTCTTAAAGCTGTCTTGCTGAAGCATCTATTTAAACCCAAGGAAGCACTTTCCAACTTTTATTTCCCACTGTCTTACTATTGTGCACGCAATCGTCAATTGCCGAAAATAGTCGGTCTCCGCTTTATGAAGAATCCGTTAGGAGGGAGAGAGAGCAGTTCCTCCACACCCTTCTCCTTCTACCTGATGGGTGGGGAGAGAACCTGCCCCTTATTAGTGTATTTAAGCTCAACTTTTGCTCAAAAAGAACGTGCTTCCGAAACTATTTGAGCTATTTTTTGGAACTTATCGGCCCTTCGGCCGTAGTCTTTGTCTCTTCACTAGCAAATAATACTTAGCCATTTCATCTCCAGTCCATCTAGTCCACTCAACGTATGCACCGCTTTCTCGGGATGAACTGCTGGGTGCTTTAAAAGTGATAAGAAGCAAACAAAGAGAGGCTCGGTTTTATTACGATTACCCTTCAAAAACCACTTCTCATCACCAACGAGTCAGCCAACTTACAATCAATCGTGCTTGGCTCGTTTTATAGCATGCTTGAAAGAGAAGAGGAGGGCAAATTGATAGGCTCTGAAGCCAAATGCCATCTGCTGCCGCATAGCATTTAAAGTGCACTTGTTTAGTTTAAACAGGCAAAATTAAAGGCTATGCAACAGTTAAACCAGGTAGAAGGTAATTTGAAAACCACATTTACTCAAAATTACCCAATAGCTAAACCCAATACTGCATTCCATGATAGTTCC